AGTTTTGAAGGGTTTTGGAAATTTGATTCATTTCAAATTTTGTACTTCAGTGTTTCCATGAAAAGAAATTTGAAATTTTACTGAGACCATTTAGAAATTATATTTTAACCAGCTGAAGAACAAACTGCTCAACCGGTCTCCCTCGTTTCAGAAAGGGAAGCCCTCTTTTGTTCAGGATTAATCCATGTTCTAGGGTCAAGGATTCAAATGCCACTGTGACAAATGGTGGAACTTTTATTCACTAAGAATCAAGATTAAAGAGGGGGGGGGAGGTGGAATAGTCGAATAGCAGCCATGTAACTACGGTCAATTGTCATTTTAAAAAGTCTAGTTCACTATTGTCCATCAGAGATTTGTTCATGTGATATAATGATTGAAGAAACATTTTAAGATTATAATTCCTGAGCAAGCTTATGTCTGTATGACTTCAAAGACACCGTGCCCAATGAGTGACTCGACCACATCAATCAGAACATAAGCGCAGTAGATTCTGGAACATTCTACATGTTGGCGAACTGGTTATTCTTGAAGAGAAAAGTATAGTGTTTTATTTCAGAAAGCTAGTCTCTGAGAAATATTTTTTTATTTCTCTTTTCCTGAAGCTTGTATATGTTTTGGGGATTTTTATTTTGTTCGTTCACAGGCGCGTGGGCATTGCTGGTTGGGCCAGCATTTATTGCCCAACCCTAATTACCCAGAGGGCGATTAAAGATCTGGTGTCCCATGGAGGCCAGACCAGGTAAGATGACAGATTTCCTTCTCTGATGGACAATAGTGAACTAGACTTTTTAAAATGACAATTGACCGTAGTTACATGGCTGCTATTCGACTATTCCACCTCCCCCCCCACCTCTTTAATCTTGATTCTTAGTGAATAAAATTTCCACCATTTGTCACAGTGGCATTTGAACCCTTGACCCGAGAACATGGACCTGGGGTTTTGGATTACTAATCCACCAACATTACCAATCTGCCACCACCTCCCCTTAGGGAATGGAGAGGGATAAGCATTTATAAATCTATATCATTGACTAAGTACGTTAACCAGTAATTGAATCTTTATAAAGTAAGTTTTGTTTCAATCATTAACCCATAATTATGTTGATTGAGAATCCTGGTTGATCATCTGATTGTTTAAAAACCTGATATCAATGAGTTATTTATTTGCTCATCTTAGTAACTGGAAGAAGTATTTTTATTTTATGTTTTATGTTGTACCTTGTGAAATAGTGTGGCTAGAATACTGTGTGTTCCTGGGTCAGAACAGTATAGTTTTAGGACAAAGTCCTGGATTGTTGCTGTTCATGCTTGCTCCTGTGAGTAATTCATGATTTCAGATGGTCTGCTGAATGAAATAGGAATTCATTGACAGGCTGCGTGACATCTCTGTATCTCAGTTTGGATTGTCGATAATTCCATGGTGTGCTACCAAACGGAGTTGATTTAGTTACACCAGAAACAGAAAAGATGGACATTTATTGTCGTCAGGTGCCAGTTTCAGTGCATCTTGCACATTTTTTTTGTTGGCCTGACATTTCAGTGCCTGTTCTTTGAAAAGCCAATCTTTTTCTTGAAAAACAGCCAGGTTTCAACAGCCACAACAGCTTGTTTTCCAACAGTGCCTTTGATATAATAATATGCTCCACAACGCTACACAGGAGTGTTGTCAGACTCAAAATAAGTCTGAGCCAGATATAAAGATAGTGGAATGGTTGGTCTGGGGCATTTGATCAAAAGCTCAGACAAGGAGGTAGGTTTTAAGCAGCATTTTGGAAGGAAGAGAGTGATTATCAGAATGTAGAGCCTTCTTGATGAAATCATGGCTATATATTTTGAGGCGAAGGATACATAAGGATACCCAACACTGCAGTTGGAGGAACAGTGAGGTCCTGGGGACATTGGACAAGAGATGATTTGGCCCAATATCTCCATTCTCTCCCAGGGCCTGCTGATTTGCTTCATTTTTCCAGCGTAGAATCGATAAAATATTCTAAACCGTAGCTTGCACGGAAATATGAATCTCGACTGGATGTTTTAGATGCTGAATCTTTTCCAACCAAAAATGGTGACCTCCCATCACCATTCCCACCTCTCAACCCGGACTGTTTCAGGAGACGGCTCACTCTCAAGGGTACGGTTTCCATGGTCTCAGCAGGAATCCAATATCTAATCTCTGTGACTGTTGTCCTAGTGTATGTTCAGGAGCTGGGCTATTCAGCTGCTTGGGGCATGGTAGTTTAGCACATGCATTCCCCAGCAAAGTGTGTGGTTATAGCTGGGATGCTGGTTTGTATTCACGCCTGCTCCCGAAAGTGGGTATTAATAGGGCATTGTAACCCTCACTAAGTTTGCTCAAGGGCCATTGGGTTATTTTAACAGAAGCTAGGAACAGATCTTAGGTGCTGATCTTAGCAAGCCTCAGCTACAGTGACAATGGGGGAGTTAGCTGTGTGCACTGGGCCTTCATCCCATGGTAAGGACAGATCACTGACAAGTAACTCTTCCTGGAAAGGTGTGTTCATGTGGAGACTGGGTGGGACCTAATGTCAGACCAGCCTGTTTCACAAAGATACATGGCCATTTGAACAAACTGGCATCTGCAACTGTACAATGATAAATGTATAAATGCTTATCCATCTCAATTCCTCAGGAGCAGGTGGCCACAGACTGGTAATGTTGCTGGATTAGTAATTTAGAAGCCTAGCTTCATGTTCTGGGGACAAGGGTTCAAATATCACCATGACAAATGATGGAATATTTATTCAATGAGATCCTAGAATACAGGCAAAAGAAAGCTAGTCTAATAGCAACCACGCAACTTCTGCCAATTGTCATTTTAAAAAAAAATCTAGTTCACTATTGTCCATCAGGGAAGGAAATCTGTCATCCTTACCTGGTCTGGCCTTTATGTGACTTCAGACCTTTAACTGCCCAATTAGGGTTGGACAATAAATGCTGGCCCTACCAGTTACGCCCAAAGCCTGCGAATGAGCAAAATAAAAATCCCCAAAGCATACATACACGCAAGTTTCAGGAAAAGAGAAATAAAAAATATTTCTGAGAGAGGCTTTCTGGGGAACAAAAAATATATCTTTTTCTTTAAGAGTAACCAATTGGCCAAAATGTAGAATGTTCCAGAATGGAACAGTGGATGGAAAGCACATGGTGCAGGTATTAAATGGTTGGATAGAAGAGAGAGGGGAACAAGGGTGGCTGGTTTGTCGAGATTGACAAGATGCAAACATAGGAAAAGGATGGGAGTCAAAAGACCAGCAGATCCATTAACTCAGACCCACTCTCATGGTGGCTGGACCTTTTGTGAGAAGGCGCTTCCTGAAGACTTGGGGAGACTGGAAAACCAGATGAGAATCTTGGGACACCCAGGGATCACTTGCTGGCTTAGTGGAGACTGTCTTCGGAAGGGAGAGATAGTTATCCTGGAGTAATGACTCCAGACTTTTTCCTTCTGTGCTCCAGACACTGCACCAGTTGGACTTGTTCCAAAGAAAATGTAAAGGTGTTGAAGTGCAGTGGGAAGAGGAGACCCTCGACCAATGCACAGTATTAGCACAGCGTTCATCAGAAAGTGTTTGCAAATACGTTGTTTGAAGGGCACAAATGTTGCTGTCTCTTGTGTTGCAACACATCTTCTGACACGCAGCACACCGCTAAATGGTGCACAGAGTGTGGGGAGAAGTAGGGGAGTGATTAGGGACTGGCTAATTCAAATTAACTTGTGCCAGCCTGCTGTCTGGTTCTAGCTATAAAAATAAATCTACATGCCCTCACGTGGCTCTGTTTCTGACGCTGAACAGAGCAGTCAACAGCACCTTGCCTCCCCCTTCTCTGTGCTGAGGGAGTCAATGTCAACAGTTGCTTTTTCTAACCAGAGGGTGGAGTGTGATTTTGGACAATTTCGACAATTCACTGACTTTTTTTTTTCCCAGGAGGATGTATGGGTAACTGGTGAGAGGTCTATAAAGTGCATTCTTTCGCATCCAGCCTCCACCAGCTCATCCTGAGCCCCTCCCACCAGGATCCCCAGCGCGGATAGACTTGTTCCCCCATTCCCCGAGATCCCCGGTGCAGATAGACTCGTTCCCTGGGATCCTTGATGTGGATAGACTTTCTCCTCCTTCCCTGGGCACTCGACTCCACCAAATATTATTTTATTCCTCTTTTATGATATTATAGAATTACCAGTGTGAATGGTTTAAGCATTGGACAGTGCAGTTTACGCATCAAGGAGCTTATCATAGAACCCTACAGTCTGCTCACGGGGTCCATACTGACCCTCCAAAGGGCATCCCACTCGGACCCAACCCCTACCCTATTCCAGTAACCCTGCATTTCCCCTAACCTGCACGTCTTTGGACTGTGGGAGGAAACCGGAGCACCCGGAGGAAACCCACGCAGACACGAGGAGAATGTGCAGACTCCACACAGACAGTTGCCTGAGGGTGGAATCGAACCTGGGTCCCTGGTACTGTGAGGCAGCAGTGCTAACCCACTGAGCCACTATGCTGCTTGCATATATTGAGATTGATGGAACTTAAAGATTTACATTTGTTTGGTTTCGCTCTTAGGAAAGGAGCTAAGATACGAATAGGTGGAGTTTGAGATGCAGATCAACCATGAAGAGATTGAATGATGCAGCAGGTTTGAGGGCTGAATGGCCTCCTCGTGTCCTTGTGGACATGAAGAGTGACTGAGGGCAGGGAGAATAACTCAGCAGGCAGTAAACCTTTAGCCAGATTGTGATGAGGATGTAGCAACCACTACGTCACAGGATAGTCGAGCTGAGTAGCACAGAGAAATGCTTTTAAGGAGAAACTGTAAATAAATGGGGGAATGTTGATAGGATATGGTATGCGAGGAGGCACAAATGTAAACATAGATCAGTTGGGCCCAAAGGACTGTTGCTGTGCTGTAGAATACAACGCGATTCAATGCACTAATGAAGTTTTGTTTCTTTTGCTTTGCACGCACGTTTTATCCAGGTTGAACATCCTGCTGGGTGGTATGACTCCATTGTACTTCCACATGGTCAATCTAGGCTTGCACTGCACCGTGACCTCATTGTTGCTCTACACATGTGACATGGCCGTGTTCCGAGACCGGCGCCTGGCGTTCTTAGTTGCTGTTCTCTTCGCCGTACACCCCATTCACACTGAAGCTGTAAGTAGCTGACTAAGCCTTTCGGGACTAACAATGTGGATCCAGTGCAAATGTTCTGCCCATCCCTGCCTTAATAGGTCCATTAAAGTTTGCAGGACAGGAGGGGTTGCGTTTGTACTATTTCCTTCCCAGTAGAGCAATCTAGTTTTGTGTTTTGTCCCCTTAGTCCCATACCTCCCCATGCTTTCAGCATTTTCCCATGGCGATTAAGACTGGGAGAAATATCTTTACACAGGCTGGTGGGAATCCAGTATTCACTGCTACTGGAGAAGTTGAGGCGAGTTGTACGTGCTAGCATAAAGGGGAATTTTGAGAGCTCATGAACAAGGCAGAGGTGGAAAGGTGAGGTGATATTGTGAGACAAAGTAATATTACAAAGGGCTGTGGTGGATCATAAGCACCCCTACTCTGCCTGATTCATTCACATACAAATGCCTACGCCTTCGTTCTCCCAGTACTGCTTAATCTTGACGGTCATTCAGCTGTACTTCAAATTAAGCCAAGAAAATAAAAACAGAAGATGTGAAATTTATTCAGTTAAATGTAGGGTTGAATAGTTCAGATAATTCACATGTTGGAAATATGAGGGACCTTCCTAGTGTGTTCCATAATAGGATCGTAGATGGTGATTGGAGGGACACTATATTGCCCTGCTTTTGAGTCATAGGGTCATAGGGTCAGAGAGTCATACCACTTGGAAACAGACCCTTTGGTCCAACTAGTCCATGTTGACCATAATCCCAAACTAAACTAGTCCCACCTGCCTGCATTTGGTGCATATCCCATTCTTATTCATGAACTTACCTAAATGTCTTTAAAATATTGTACCTGTATTCACCACTTCCTCAGGAAGGTCACACCATGCACATACCACTCTGTGTAAAAAGAAAATATTGCCCCTCATGTCCTTTTTGAATCTTTTTCCTCTCACCTTAAAACTATCCCCCCAGTCTTGAAATCCCCCAACCCGGGGAAAAGACACTTGCCATTCATATTCTCTATACATCTCATGATTTTATAAACCTCTATAAGGTCACCTCTCAACCTCCTATGCACTAGTGAAAACGGTCCCAGCCTATCTTGCCTCTCCTTATAATTCAAACTCTCCATACCCGGGCAACATCCTGGTAAATCTCTTCTGAATCCTCTCCACCTTAATAATATCCTTCCTATAACAGGGAGATGACAACTGGACACAGTAGAATCATAGCGTAATACAGCATGGAAACAGGCCCTTGGGCCCAAACTGGTTCAAACTAACCGTGGTGCCCACTCAGCCAGTTCCAATTGCCTGCATTTGGTCCATATCCCTCTAAACACTTCCCATCCATGTATCTATCCAAATGTTTTTTAAATGTTGCTATTGTACCTGCCTCAACCACTTTCTCTGGCAGCCCATTCCATTTTTTTTAATTCATTTGTGGGATGTGGGCGTCGCTGGCTGGCCAGCATTTATTGCCCATCCCTAGTTGCCCTTGAGAAGGTGGTGGTGAGCTGCCTTCTTGAACCGCAGCAGTCCTTCAGCTGTGGGTTGACCAACAATGCTATTAGGGAGGGAATCCCAGGATTTTGACCCAGTGACAGTGAAGGAATGGCGATATATTTCCAAGTCAGGATGGCGAGGAACTTGGAGGTGGTGGTGTTCCCAGGTATCTGCTGCCCTTGTCCTTCTAGATGGAAGTGGTTGTGGGTTTGGAAGGTGCTGGCTCAGGATCTTTGGTGAATTTCTACAGTGTATCTTATTGATAGTACACACTGCTGCTACTGAGCGTCGGTGGTGGAGGGAGTGGATGTTTGTGGATGTAATGCCAGTCAAATGGGCTGCTTTGTCCTGGATGGTGTCAAGCTTCTTGAGTGTTGTTGGGACTGCACTCATCCAGGCAAGTGGGGAGTATTCTATCACACTCTTGACTTGCGCCTTGTAGATGGTGGGCTGGCTTTGAGGAGTCAGGAGGTGAGTTGCTCGCTGCAGTATTCCCAGTTTCTGGCCTGCTGTCGTAGTCACTCTGTTAATGTGGTGAGTCCAGTTGAGTTTCTGGTCAATGGTAACCCCCAGGATGTTGATAGTGGGGAATTCAGTGATGGTAACACCATTGAATGTCAAAAGACGGTGGTTAGATTGTCTCTTATTGGTGATGGTCATAGCCTGGCATTTGTGTGGCGCGAATATCACTTGCCACTTGTCTGCCCAAGCCTGGATATTGTCCAGGTCTTGTTGCATGTGAATATGGACTGCTTCAGTATCTGAGGAGTCCTTATACACACCAGTCTGCGTGAAGAAGCTGCCCCTCAGGTCCTTCTTAAATCTTTCCCCTCTCACCTTAAACCTATGACCTCTAGTTGTCAATTCCCCATCCCTGGGAACAAGACTATATGCATTCATCCTATCTATGCCCCTCATGATTTTATACACCTCAATAAGGTCATCCCTCATTCTCCTACATCTCAAGGGATAAAGTCCTTTCCTGGCCAACCTCTCCTTATAACTCAGGCCTACTAGTCCTGGCAACATCCTCGTAAATCTTCTTTACACACTTTCCAGTTTAACTATGTCTTTCCCATAACAGGGTGACCAAAACTCCAAGTACACAATACTCCAAGTGCGGCTTCACCAACAACTTATACAACTGTAACATAACATCCCAACTCCTATACTCAATGCCTTGACCAATTCAGGCCAGCATGCTAAATGCGTTCTTCACCACCCTCTCTACCTGTGACGCTGCTTTCAATGAACTGTGTACTTGTACTGCTAGGTCCCTCTGTTCCACAACACTCCTCAGAACCTTACTATTTACTGTATAAGTCCTACCTTGGTTTAACTTTCCAAAGTTCAATACCTTACACTTATCTGTATTGAATTACATTTGCCAATCCTCGGCCTACTTCCCCATCTGATCAAGATCCCTCTGTAATTTGTCATAGCCTTGCTATCAATGATACTTCCTCATTTTTAATCATCTGCAAACTTACTAATGATGCCTTGTACATTCACATCCAGATCGTTTATGTAAATAACAAATAACAAAGGTCCCAGCACCGACCCCTGCGGCACACCGTGAGTCACAGGCTTCCAATCTGAGAAACAGCCTTTAACTATCACCCTCTGCATCCTACCATCGAGCCAATTTTGAATTATAATTAGCTAGCTCTCCCTGGATCTCATGCAACGCAACTTTCAGGACTAGCCTGCCATGCGGGACTTTGTCAAATGCCTTACTAAAGTTCATATAGACAACATCCATTGCCCTACCCTCATCTATCCTCTTGGTTACCTCTTCGAAAAACTCTAAATGATTTGTCAGACATGACTTCTCGCGTACAAATCCATGCTGACTATCCCTAATCAGACCTTGATTATTCCAATGTTGTTTGATCCTGTCCCTCAGTATCCTCTCCAATAATTTGTCTACCACTGATGTCAGGCTCACTGGCCTGTAGTTCCCTGGCTTGTCTTTGCTACCTTTCTTAAACAATGGAGCAACATTAGCCACCCTTCAGTCTTCTGGAACTTCACCGGTGACTAAAGATGAAGCAAAAATGTCTGAAAGGGCCTTTGCAATTTCTGCCCTAGCATCCCACAATGTCTGAGGATGGACTTGATCAGGCCCAGGGGATTTGTCCACCTTAATGCGCTTTAAGGCTGCAAACACCTCTCTTGTAATGTGTATGCGGTCCAAAACATCCCCACTTGTTTCCCCTATTTCCATAGCATCCATGATTCTCTCCTCAGTAAGCCTGAGGAGAAATATTCATTAAAAATCTCCCCCATCTCCTGTAGCTCCACATGTAGACGGCCATGCTGATCTGTAAGAGGACCTATTCTCTCCCTAGCCATCCTTTTTTCTCTTAATATAGCTCCAAAAGAGGCCTCATGCTTTCTCATAGGATTGGGATGGAAGACGACAGCTGGGTAAAAAAAGGACCAGGTTGCCTGTGATGGTCCATTGGAGGTTGGCAGGTCAGTTGACAGTAAGCAGTAGTCGTGAAACAGCATAAGAAATGAAGAATGTGCATTGCTGTAGAGCCTTTGACATTGTCAGGATGAGCCAAAGCAGCATGTAGCTAATAAGATTCTTTGGAAGCATAATTTTGTTTTATTCATTCAAGGGATGAGGGCGTCACTGGCTAGGCAGCATTTATTGCCCATCCCTAATTGCCCAGAGGGCAGTTAAGAGTCAACCACATTGCAGTGGGTCTGGAGTCACATGTAGGCCAGACCAGGTAAGGATGGCAGTTTCCTTCCCTGAAGGACATTGATGAACCAGATGGGTTTTCCCAACAATTGACAATGGATTCACGGTCATCATTAGACTGTTAATTCCAGATATTTATTGAATTCAAATTCCACCATCTGCCATGGCAGGATTCAAACCTGAGTCCCCAGAACGTTATCTGGATCTCTGGATTAACAGTCCAACGATAATACCACTAGGCCATTGACTCCTCAATCTCTGTTAAAATGTTGGGACACAGAGGTAATCTGTTTTGGAATGTGGGTTGATTGAGGATAAGGTGGGGGGAGTAGAAGCTGGGCGTAGCTGCAGGGTAGAATGCACTGTGACTGTTTGTAATGGCACAGTGGAGCCCTTATTGCCCATCTGAGAGCACTGACTTGTGTTTAATGTCTCATTTGAAAGGTGGCATGTCTGACAATGTAGCACTGCCTGTGTGCTGCACTGGAATGTCTGTCTTCAAGTCCTAAATCCACTACTACCTTAACTCAGGAGTGAGTGTGCTATGACTGAGCCAAGGGATGACATGCTATTCAACTACATGAGCTGCACCTTTGTTTCTCTTGAATTGTTCCTGAAGAATTACAGATGTCAAATTTATCATGTAAATAAGAAACATGCACACACTTTATTTATAATTCTTTCATAATTATTTATATTAATTATATCCAAATGTAACTCTGGGAACAAACAGATCTGTGGAGCCTGCCCTTATTTCTCCACCTTTGCTGTTTCGAATTGGACTGGAACTGAGCAGGCTTAGTT